CATTTTGCCAAACTGAAATCGAACCGGTACCACCAGTTTTGGTTTTTTATTGGTTTGGTTCTTTGGTTCTTCGATTTTTTGATTTTTATATTTATAATATATATTATATAAATATATGTATAATTTTATATTACACATAATAAATGATATATATATATATATAATATTTTAAAAATATATAATATATTTATAAATATAATATAAGTATATATTTATATATATAATGAATATATATTTATATATAATCCATAGAAAATATGTGACACATATTAAAAATATGTATAAAATATACATATAAATATATATAGCGGTCAGTTCAGTTAATCGTTGATTTTTTTGTAGGTTAACCGAAAATCGAAACGATCCTTTAGTTTTTCAAAAATTTTGAACCGAAACCGAATCGATCGATTCGGTTAACCGCATTTTGCAGTTCGGTTCGGTTTTTTGATTTTTCATGGACACCCCTAACAGTGATGGTGAAACCTCCTTTGTACTCTCTCACGATTTTCTCTCTCCTCCCTTCCTCTCCCTCTCTTGTTTATTCCGACGGTAGTAGTGCGTTGTGTATCCTACACTACTTTGACGGCATTCGGCTACGGTTGCAATGATAGTAACTGTTTTGTATCCTACACTACTCGTAGATAACATCTTGGCTAATAAATGCTCCGAGGTAACATCTCTCCATTTTTTTCACCTTTTTCCTTAATTTGTTTCTATTTTAGGATTTCTTTCAACTTTTTGTTACTAACATTTAATCAGCTTATATTTTAGGATAACCAATGTCTGCGTTTTGGAGCTGTTTAATGTTTAAAGTGGAATTATAATAATATCTTTCTTGACATTGCACTACATTCATTTAATGATTGTTTGTCTTTACATGCCATTTATCTCCTATTTATATCCCCTTCGGTTATTTTGAATGCATGCTCTTCTTCAACTCTCTTCTCTATTCCTTCTCCTTGTACTTCTTCAACTCTCCTCTTTGTTGCAAGTATTTTCTGATTTCCTAATGCTATTTGTAGTAGTAACACTTTGTAGAATTATTGGTTTTTGGTATATACAAGTTTTCCCTTGGTGTTGTTATTACTTTTACAATAGCCTTTACTTCCTTGTGGTTAATGTCTTTTCTTTAATTCTGGTAGTTGTTAATGCATTTATTTCCTAATGCTATTTGTAGTGCTAATACTTTGTAGAATTATTGGTTTTTGGTATACACAGGTTTTATTTTATTTCCTAATGCCTTTACTTTCATGTGTTTAATGTCTTTTATTTAATGTTGGTAGTTGTTAATGCATTTATTTCTTTTAGTTGTTCTTGTTTTTTTTTTGTTGTCTTTTATTTTATTTTATTTTTGGTTGTGTTTTATTTTATTTTATTTTTTATTACATGGGAGGAATGATGCAAAACTTTTTTTTCTTTCGAATTCTAAGTGTTTATTGTCTTTTCTAACTTGTATTACATGCTGCAAAATGTTTTTTTTTTTACTTGAACCACCTTTTACTAATTCTTGTTTCATAATCTTTTTGCACTTTTCATGTTCTCTTTTCCTTCATGTAACTATATTTGCATTTCTTTGTTTCAGTTCACTTTTTTCATTTTTTCCTAAGATTTTTTGCATATTTTCTCATGCTTTGGGAACAGTGATGTATTTTTTTATTTTAGGGAGAACATTTAAAATATGATTTCCTTCTTAATCTTTTTATGAGTTTTTTGGGTCATACTTTCCCCACTTTACTTGTGTTTGCATTTGTTTATTTTCCCCTCTACTCTACAACTCTTTTCATTTTTTGGATATTTGTTGAATATTGTCCTTTTGTATTCGACCTGAGCTCCCATACTTTTATTTACTAGGACTATAAGTTAGAACTTAGGTGGTGTTTGATTGCACTTTTCAGAGGTCTGAATCTGAAAATGCTGCTTTTCAAATCCACACACTTGCTTGGTTTTACCTCTTAAATTTGATCTGAATGTTGTTTTCAGATCTGAAAACCTTAGACCTTGGGCCGGCTCTTAACACATTCGGACGCGTTTCAAAGCCAGTGCATAGTCAAAACTACCCTTCCAATATTTTGTAAATGATGTGCACTACCCCTCACTAACCCCAAACCCAAATATCCTAGTTATTTTCATGTTTTCTCAGGGAGGAAGCGCAACTCCAAGAAGAATGCCTCTCTCTCTCTCTCCCTACCTTCCCACTTCCCGCCACCGCCGTTGCAACTTTCAGCGACAGTTCTTTCTCTCTCTCTCTCTCTCTCTCTGTCTTCCCGTTGCAACCGTCGCGACAACTCTGGTTTGTGTTCGAATCGAGGAGACGATGAATAATAGATTAGGGTAAATGAAGAAGATGATAGGTTAGGTTGTATTAATTTTATTAATTATTTTAATTTTTTTAATTTTTAATCATATTAATATTTTTTATTAGTGATTAATTATTTTTATTGTGTTATTTATAATGATTAATTATTTTTAGCAATTATTATCAATTATGATTTATTTTAATATTTTTATTTGTGTTATTTTAGAATTAATAATAATTAAATAATTAATTATTTTAACTTTATTAAATTTTAATCATATTAATATTTATTATTTATTATTAGTTTTATTTAATATTTATTATTGAATAATCAAATAATTAATTATTTATTAATTTTTATTAAATTTTAATTTTTTAATAGCTTGTAATTAATTATTTATATTAATTTTTTTGTATAATTTTGATATTATTCTGAATTTGAAAAATTATTTTATATGAAATAGTGCTAACTGCATTCAAAATTACAAAATAGCTTGTTCTAGGGGTAAAATAGTAAAACAAAGCAATTTCAGATGTTACACAATTGATCCAACACAAATAGCATTATCTGTTCAGATCCTTTAAAAAGTAGAAAAGCATTTATGCCTTTGTTCAGATTTCAGACACTTTTAATATCTTTTTAACTTTTTAGATCTGAAATTTCAGATTTATCAAACGCCACCTTAGACTTTTATATCCTCTTTATTTATTTTTAATCTGCCTGCTATTTTAGTTTCTTTGGACTTCTGTAAATTCAGCCATTGGTTGAACGGTGTATTCTTCCAATTATTTAAGATTTAAAAGCATGTCTGAGCTTGATTTGAACAATGTATTCTAAATGATTATTTATCTTGTAAAAAGGGAGAATAGAAATCTCAAAAGAAGTCTAGAATTAAGGAAAAAAAAAGATATGATTGTAGATCTGGTTTCAAGAAAATCCAAAGTGAACCAATCTATTTGATTACTGAAAATCACTGACACCTAGAATTAGACAAATCCACTATAAATCTATAATTCATGATATCTCTTATTCATATCAAATTATGGTTATACCACCCAAAACACCCACAAAAGGAAGAAAAGTTCATTTTCTATTTCTGATCTCCCAAATAGCTTTAATTAATCAATTATCAACCCTCTACTTAAATAAAAACTAAAATTTGTATTTTCTGTAGCATATCCACACAAACCAATATTTCTTCTTCAGCATTACGAGAGCTGTAATAAGTCCTATATATTCCCGACAAGTAATCATTTGATAAAACTTTAATCATTTAGAACATAGATGAAGCTAATAAAGTCATAGTCTAACCTTGATACAATTATACAATATGTTGATACCATACAATCACCTCAACTACATAATAAACACTTAAAATCATAGAAGAAAAATGGTAAATAAAAACAATCAACCAAGRACAGATTAATCATTTTGGATAGCACTTAGAAAAGGAAAATAATCTTTCTAAAAAATCAAACAATACACTAAAATAACATATCCAAGCACTTGGTGGCTTAAGGTTTCTTATTATAGAATAAGAGATGTTTATTCGGCCTTTTTCGGGAGGGGGTGCATTCATTCTGGAACCAAATGACTTCTTGTGGGGAACAAGGGGAATCCCCTGAAAAAACGGGACAATATTGTAACTCATCTGAATTTATTATGCTGAACCTGAACGAAATATGTCAGAGGAAATTGTATCAACCACATTGCTGGAGATTCAGGCAAAATCCTCAGACCTCCCATCATGTGCATTACCTATGTGGCTGCAGGAGTTTTGGTCACTTTCTCATTTGTTAGACCAATATTTGGTCAGTTATTTTTCCTTGCTAAAGAATGCAAAATCAGCTATAAACTGATTCTAGGATAGTTACCAGGCAAAATAAGATTCTAGGGAGCATGTCACACAGCAAGACAATCTATAGATGCAATGCCAATTGGCAAAAAGAGAGCTAATCACTAAAATTCAGTTCGGTATCTGAATAAGGTTCTACGGTAGTACAGGATTTTTAATTGAAAATTCAGTTCGCTATCTTGTTTTACAATAAATTTAAAGGATTTAGCTTGAAACCCAAGAAAATAAATAGTTTTTTAAATCCAAAAATTTTATAATTTGATCGATTTTTATATAATCATATTTTAAATAAACAATCACTCCTTTGTTTCTCCTATGCCCGTGCTCACTTTCTGCTAGTATCAAATTATTWGAGATCCGCCAGCAACCGACGGTTTATTTTATTTTATTTTATTTTTCTTTTTGATTTTGATTGGGTGTAGTTGCAACTATGAACTAGCAACTGATACACATTTTATTTCCGACAGATCGGTATCTAAGTAGCGATATTTATTTCCGCTTTTTTATTGGGACGAAAATGGGGAAGCGGAAGACCCGACATCACCACATGTTACGTAGATTGTGGATGGATTGATGAATTTGTGGTTTGTGGTTGTGGACCATCTTTTTCACGTCATCCGCTCAATTGAGACGCTTAACCGTCAGATGCTTGGACCTCTTTTTTACAAAAATGTCCTTCTTCTTGTCGGTTTCCCCAAGTGTAGCGACACCGACACCGTCCAGGTATCAGAACATGAACACCCCCAGCAAACCAAAGGAGATGTCACCTACATCTACATCTACCGGCCGGTTTATTAGTCATTTGTGGACCACACTCCACTGTGAGGGAGTGAGAGAGCATACAAACGAGCACTCATCAATATCCTTCTGTAAGTAGAGGAACTGAGGATGAGCAACTTGATTGAGATTTGAGAGGAGATCCGGACTCATTTGAGAGAGAAAGAGAGAATCTGAGCCCCCCCACCCAAAAAAAAAAGTGTATTCAAACCACAAATAGTCAAATACACTTGACTCTATATACATTTACCATTTACTCTTACATAAGTCCCAAAATGCCCCTTGCCCTCTACCACGCTGACGGCGGCGGTTTTCTCCGTTTAATAGTGTGATGATCCGTGATCGTCCCATAATCTAACGATGCTGCCGTTAAGCACCGTTGGATCCTGGTAACGATACCAACCCAAATCCCCTCTTCCCCATCTGCTGATGAATATTCCACCAAAACTACTACATCCCTCGCCAATGTCTCCTCCATCCCAGCAACCGCCGTCGGCGCCTTCAGCAACTGCAACCTCGTCGTCCGAGATCTCCCTTGGCGTTGACTCGCCGTTGTCGTGAACCTCTTCATAATAATAATGCACGGTATACTTACCTCCTTTTGTCCTACCTTCATCTTCAACGGTCCAAACCGAAGAAGAACAAGAGCTAGAAGGACACATTACTCTGCAAGCTCCTGATGGTTTGTCCGACTCCGACGACGATTGAGATGGCTTCTCCGATGACTCAGATGGCGTTAACTCAAACAAAGCATGAGACTCGTACGTAATTCGATCGTTGAAGGAAGAATATAAGTCTGATTTTGGCCGGCGAGGGTAGAAACCGACGGCTCTGATTCTCCAGACACTAAAAGCAGCCGTTAAGATGGCGACCCAGGTCCAGAGGCTGTTAGCGACCGCTAGTAAACCCAGATTCAGATAGTTGAAGACGATTGCTTCCAAGGGAGAACCCAAGACGTCCATGGCTGCAGACGAAATCCCTCTCCCTTCTCTCTCTCTCTCTCTCTCTCTCTCTGTGACACCAACACTATGACTATATCAAGAACCAGCTGGGACCTCGTCTACATTATGAGGGTAAAGAAGGGCTGCTGCAAGAAGATGAGGACCATTAGATCTGTTCAGGGTGGAGCGGGATATGATGGAAATGCCGGGAATCGAGAATGGAAGATGCTTTAGCAGATCCAAATTCCAAAAGCTTATTCGAAATTTACCAGTTGAGTATCTGTCAATGGCGCAGTGCTATCGTGTCGTGGGGCCCGCGATAGAAGCGTAGATATGAGGGGGTATCAATGCCCACGGCTACTACGTRACATTACAGCCATAAATGGAGAATATCTCATCCTCTTACGTAATATTATGCACGGCGAGATACTTCAAATGCACGGAGGTAACGGCACGGCTTCTTTTCTGACCGCAGAAATCAATGTAAGAGAAGAAGAGATGACACGTGTTTCGTTTCTATTGAGTAAAACGAGTTCAAATCTGCCCCTCACCACTAGCGCCCCAAAAACGTCTCACACAATTGGAGGCCGCCAGCTGTCCTCCCCCCCACACACTCCCCTCAGCGCGTGTAAGGTTAACGGAACGGCCGTTAGTTCTAAACCAGCGCTCAAAACCAAATTCGACCTAGACCTGTGCAACCTTGCACTCCTCCGATCCGATCGTCTCCAGTGCCAATGACCATTGCGGCAGAAACACCGAAGGTATGAATCCGTCCCTCTCATCTCATCTCTTTTTTTATAATTTACTGTTTTTCCGATTCAAAACAAAGGAGAGGTTTCACCCACCACCGGCCATCTCCGGCAACCACCAGCAACAGTATATAGGTGTGCGTTTTTTGCTCTCTTCTATTTTTCCCTTTTTTTCCATTTGCATTTTCCCAAAACTGTTACACTGATATATGTTGCCGATTTTTTCTTCTTATTCATCATATAAAACACGAAAATGGTAGCTTTCATTTCCTTAACTTTTTTTTTTAATAAAGAAATGATATTTTCACTCTTTAGAGTTGAGAGTCCAAAGTCCAAAGATTTGCGTTAATATCAAACTAACATAACAACAACATTTTAATTCCTTCCTCTTTTCTTATTAAGACAAACTGAAGTATCACTAAAGTTGCTTCATTTTACCCACCAAGCAGGCAATAACCGAGTAGACTGGTCGATCTAAACATGTCTGAAGGATGTCAGGTTCCTGTAACTCATCCAAGCCTTCTCCCACACAACGGCCTCGTTGTTGTTGGTGACACCCTTGTCCGTTGCCTCTAGTATAAGCCAATAATTGAATCCAGCGACGTTTTTGGGTCTCACCCCGCACCACCTTTTGGAACTGGAGGTTGGTTTTGGCATCCTTATTGTACTTAGCGACGGTAAACTACCAGATCTCTTGGACATGTGGGTCATTCATATCTTGAATGGGTTGCCAGTCGCCGAGTAGCATGGCGGAAACTCCGTTGTCGAAGAGAAAGAAGGAAACCAAGAGGGGAATCAAGAAGAGAAGAAGAGACTGGATTTTCATTCTCTGCTTTATGGTTTGGGAAAATACATAGAACAGGTTGGGGAAATGCAAATAAAAAAAAAAAAAAAACTAAGAATGAAGAGGAAAAACGCACCTGTATAATGGTCGGGTGGTCGTCCGTGATCCTTCTTCCTGTGTTGTGTATTGAAAAAAATAAATTAAAAAATAAAGGATGTGAAAGGGAGAAAAGACGAAAGAGGCGAGTTCGTATCTACGCTGTATCTGCCGGAACAGTCATCGACACTGGAGACGATCGGATCGGAGTAGTGCAAGGTTGCACAGTACAGGTCGAGAATTTGGTCTTGGGCCCTAATTGGGAACTAACGGCCGTTCCGTTAACTTCACACGCGCTGATGGGAGAGTGTGTGTGTGGGAGGACAGCTGGCGGCCTCCCATTGTCTAGGACGTTTTTGGGGCGCAAGGCGGTGGGGGGCAGATTTGAACTCGAGTAAAACGGATGGAATCATTTATTTTCCTTCTTTGTTAAGTGTTTTATTTGTGTGGGACGACATCTGCTTCTTACCTCACTTTTTTGTAAATTCTCTTAAATTTATAATTTTTCAAAACGTCCAAAATTCATGAGATTTTATTTTCTAAAATTCACCATCCGTTTTAACACCGTTAAAGTTCAATGACGTAAGTTAAGTTGTTCATGTCATCTTAAATTCATGTTTCATGACTAAACTGCCTCTGAATGGTGAATCAKCCCGTTAAACATTTTTTTGACCGAATAAGTGCCCAACCGGACGATCAGAAATGCACGTGCGAGGGAGATAGATACGAGAGAATGAAGAATCTAGTGAACCATTATCCAGTACATCCGACGACGTCTATTCTGCCATGTTGGCACTAGCCAACCACAACCGTAGGTTTTCTTGTGATCTCAACGGTTAAGGTTAAATCTTTGACGGAAGCAAGTGATCTTGGCCGCTCGCGAAGAGTGAAAAACCATAAGGAGATGAGATTAGAGAGCAAGCATAAAAGCAAGACAAAAAAGCAGAGAGAGAGGGAGAGAGGGCGAGAAGGGAGGAGGCGAGGTAGAAGTGAAGTGAGAGAATAAGTAAAAGCTGAGATTTGGTACTTGAATCATTTTGTTGGTCGAGGTCGGCCGGAATCTGAAGTTTTCTTCCATTGAACTCCGGCAAATTATTGTGAAATTTGGTCAGAAGATCGGTTTATGGACAAAAAAGTGTGAAATGATAAGATTTATGGTTCACTGTATTTGATTTCATGAGAAATAGCGGTAAGGGATGGATAGAAACAGAGAAGCAAGAAGAGGAAGCTTAGCAGCATCAAATGGATTGTCAAGAAGGAGATAGAGGAGTAGCAGTCTAAGGGATTCTCCTGGTTCGGACTTCTCATATCTGCCTTTTATACTGTTTATAACAATACTTTTTCGTTTTTTCTCTGATCTTGACATTGCTTTTTTTTCCCTTTTTTGTTCAATTTACAGAGGAAGATGAACCAATGGAATTGCAGGAAACGGTGAGATTGAGAGATCGAGGGAATAAGAAAGAGATCGAGGTCGGTCGAGCCGTAACAAACGAAGAAGAGGGGATAGATTGATGCATGGCAGTAATAGAGAGGAAGCAAAAGGGGAAGTCTGTCCGCAGATTCCTGATCAACCGGACGATCGCTATGTAGTTACGGGAGGAATCGTGGGGGAAAGGCAAGTAGAACAGATGGGCATCCTCGGCGTTGGTCGTTATGAAGGAGCTTTTTAGGAGAGAATCGTGGAAGAGCAATTTGACTGCGGTACTGAAGGGTTGGGCTTCTCTGGAGATGGAAAGAGAGAGAGGGCAGAATCGGAGGGAGAGAAAGAAAGGGAAATAATATTGGCGTTAAACTACTAAGTAGAAAACAAAGATTTTAGCGGTGGAAGAAGCGTAAAATAATAAATTAACAATGCCCGACGTTTTGAAAAGTTATAGAAAGTTGGGATAATAACATATATGAGGGCAACTTTTGGGGTTTAATATCAATAAAATTAATATATTTAAAAATAGGTTAAATATTTAAAAATAATATAAACACTGTTCATCTTCTTCTTGCCATTTGTTCACCAGAGCCGCCATCCACCGCTGCTGCCTCCACCTTTGGCAACGTTGTCGGAGGTGGCCGAAGGTAGAGGTGGCGGCGGCGACGGCGGCACTGGTGGTTTCTCTGTCCAACTGCCACCTCTAYATTTGCCTTCGACAACGTTGCTAGAGATGGGTGGAGACAGAGGTGGCGGTGGCGGCGGGCAGAGGAATGACCACCAGTGCGGCCGCTGCCACCTTTGCCTCTGGCCACCATCGGCAATGTTGCCGGAGGTGGAGGCGGAGGCGGAAGTGGGTATAGGTGGTGGCGGGCAGCAGCGGACGACGATTCTGATGAACAAATGGCAAGAAGAAGAAGATGAACAGTATTTTGCCCTTTATTGATGTTATTTTAAAAAAGTTAACCTATTTTTTAATTTTTTTAAATATATTACTTTTATTAATATTAAACTCCAAAAGTTGCGCTTATATGCTAAATACCCTAGAGAGTTTAAAGAGAATTCATGAAAAGCAACGATGGGTTTTAGACAAATTTTCTTTATTTAATATTCATTAGAAGGTATTTTCAAATACATAATGGAATGTGACTGTGAGGTTGGAGCGAGGAACAGAACTCAACTTCCCTGCGAGTTGCTTGACATCCCTCGTTTGGCGATTGCATATCTACACCGGTTCGTGCATCTATACCGAATTCTCTATACGGTTGCTTCTTTACGTGATAAGTACCAGTACCACTCCGGATCTATGTTAAGAAAGCTTGTGGGCATCTCCGAGCTCCATACATACTCGGAGAGGATTTTACATTTCAAAGAGTTGGGAACACCTACTAACAAAGTACGTATTGGGTTTAGGATAACCAAACCAGTATACAGGTGTGTCCCCCTATTATAAATTATTACATGTGTCAAAACCATATTTTGTATCGTAATAAATTGTGTTCAGGTGTGTTTTTATATTTGTATTTGCACTATTTGGGAAGATTGCAAATATAATATAAATATGTTCAATTCAATGCAAATATATGTAAATACATACAACTGAAAAGGATGATACAAATCAAGAACTGGTCACAGTAAAAAACAAAATAAGATAAAAATTGAATTCTAAATCTAAAATGGTGCAGGAGACTATACAATTAGAAACTGTTTAGGCATCATCAAGAATAAACAAAGGTCATCACCTTCAATAGTCTTCTTAAAATTTTATATCGTTCTTGATATTATGTATAGAGCTTCTACTCCATGTTTAGCTTTGAGGGTGAGGTCACATCCCCCCCCCCTCCCTCTTTTTTGATCATTAATAAAGTTTCTTTTTTTTTTAAATAATGTTCGGTGCAAATACAAAGTATAGAAATGACTTTGCATTTGTATGTGCAATGCAAATTGGAAAAACTTTGGCTGTTTGAAAAAAAAAAGCTGCTGTCAGCTTCATGTTATTAATTATATTACGTCATTATTTGTTTTTTTCACAAAAAGAATATTAATTGTAAATATTCTTTTGCTCGTGATGTGCATGTGCAGGAGGCTCCCAAAGTCTGGCCATTCAAATCGTGGGATCTTTTTTTTTTTTTCTGTGCTTTTATGATTTAGAGGATCCATGAGGGACCTCAGTTTCTCCCTTCTTCTTAATGATAAGGATTTTATGGACTCCTGTTGGTTCATTTATTTTCGAAACCAAAAAAGAACTCCAATAAGTAAATAGGCCTTTCTGGTTTGCTTTTGGGCTTTAGCTAAACAGATCGGGTTACGAATAGTCCTTTCCTGTAAGGCCCATGGGAGGCTGGACTAATAGTTGGTGTAGATTCTCGTCATCAGGTCTTGGATAAGTGGATTGAACTGGGCTGGGTCAG